CCATCAGAAGGAAAGGATTCCCGACCAGTACAGAACGTCAAGAACCGTCCTTTTTTCCAAAAAGGGTGAACAGGAGGATCTTCGGAACTATCGTCCAATATGCCTGCTGAGTGTGCTGTACAAGATTTTCACGAATTTTCCCCGCTCGCATGCCTACGATGGATGAAGTCCAACCCCAAGAACAAGCTGGATTTCGCAAAGGATTCTGCTGCATGGACCACATCCAGACCGTTTCGAGGGCCATGGAAGTCTGCCGGGAGTACCTAGCCTCTCGTCTTAACCTTTGTCGACGAGAAAGCCTTTGACAGCGTCGAAACCAACGCCATCCTATCTGCGCTAGTCGATCAAGGAGTGGACTCAGCTTGTGCGAGGATGTCAGCCGACTGCTACAAGGACTGTTCAACGACGATGCAGCTATTCCATAGCCCCTTGACCATACCAACTGGGAAGGGGTCCGACAAGGCGACAGAATCTTGCCGAAGCTGTTTACCGCGGCCTTGCAGTGGGTGATGAAGTCACTGGACTGGGACGAAAGAGGCATACAAGTTGATGAGAGATTCTTGCCGTACCTTCGTTTCGCAGACAACATCGTTCGCTTTTCGAGCAGTATCACTGAAGCAGAGACGACGCTGAAGGAACTGAACGAAGTAGGGAAGAAGATGGGGTTGCGAATAAAATCGAAAGAAGACTCTGTTCATGAACGCCCTTTGCGAAGATGCAGATATGGAATTGGAAGGCACTTCAGAGAGAAAACGAGTTTGCGGAACAGATGGACCAGCTGAGAAATCAGCTGGATACGAATTTTGCACCTGGAACTCGTGGACGCAGCCACCGACGTCAGCCAAGAAGATCGTGGATGTCTGAAGCGAGGGACAGGGTGAAATCTGTGCTGGGGCCCGCACGTTACGTAAAGCCGGGCCATCTAAATGTCTAAATGAGTAAAGTTTATAACTATCATACACAAACTTTTTTAGAGCAAGAAAAAGCGAGCACAACCATGATAGGTGCTGATGGTTCAGGGGTCCATAGCAACCGATATGCGCTGCCGTGGTAAAGGTTGAAGAAGTGCAATTTTTGAGTGCTACGTTCCTTTGTTTCATTAGGGTTTGCACAGTGTAAGAGCTGCGTTGTTGACTTGTTTCGTATATTCACAGAATTTACGTTTTTTTGTGACATGCAAATAAATTTGTGCGATTGTTATCTTTTGATTATAGTTACTTACTACTTATATTAGATGACCCGTCCACGTGGCGTGCGGGCCTCGGCGCAAGAGTTTTTGTTTGTCCTTGTCCCTCGCTTCAGACCTCCACGATCTTCTTGGTTGCTTCGGTGGCTGCCTCCACGAGTTTCAGGTGCGACAATGTATCCAGCTAATTTCTCAGCTGGTCCATCCGTTCCGCGAACACGTCTGCCCATCTCGTTGGTGGTCTTCCTCGGGGACGTTTTGCTTCGCGAGGAATCCACTCCGATGTTCTTAGTGTCCATCTGTAGTTTGTTCTTCTCATAGGACCGGTCCTTCGGTGTTTCGCTTCCGCAACGTATTCCGCTGGATCACGAAGACGAGACATTTCTCATATCCATATTGCGAAGTCCGACAACATGTTGTTTGTGTCGGGTCAACTTCAGAAGACTACGCTCTAGAGCTGTGTGGGTGGTTCTTAAGGCTTTGGACGTGGCGACGGTGTCAGCCCAAGTCTCAGCTGCGTAACAGAGCGCCGGGAGAACGGTTGAGTCGAACAGGTGGGCACGAAGCTCCGGGTCCGTCAGTTGGTCGGTGGCTTCCTTTAGAGGCCCGAAGGCGGCCCAGGCTGCTCTTCTTCTCCTGTTGAGTTCTTCCTTGAAGTCGTTCTCCATGTTCATCGAACGTCCGAGATACACAGGATGGTGTTGGTTTTGACGCTGTCAAAGGCTTTCTCGTAGTCGACGAAGGTTAGGACGAGGGCTGCCGGTACTCAGTTCTATGACCCTCGAAACCGTGTGGATGTGGTTCATGCAGCTGAATCCTTTGCGAAATCCCTAGTATCGTAGATATGCGGGCGAGAATAATCTTCGTGAAAAGCTTGTACAGCACACTCAGCAGACATATCAGACGGTAGTTCCGAAGATCCTCCCGTTCACCCTTCTTGAAAAGAAGGACGGTTGTTGACGTTCTGGACTGGTCGGGAATCCTTTCCTTCTGTTGGTAAGATTTTAGATATGAAGCGAGAATATCGAGTAGATGTTGTCCTCCAGCTGGCAGAAATTGGAAAAATAATCTGGTCGTAGAGCCGTGGACGGTATCGGTCAGTGGTTCTTCATGGTCAGTATCGCAACTGAAACTGAAACATTCGACGGAAAGATAATCTGGTCTTGCAGCTGTCTTCATGGTTTGTACCGCAACTGAAAGCCTCGGTGGTACTTTTTCAATGAAACAGGGGGCATCGGCACGGATGTTGATGAGCGGAAGAGGTTGGTGTAGAAGTTCTTCGCGATAGATTCCATCTTATATTGGAAAGGGGCCGGAGTCCGTTTTCGTTCAATAGTGCAGCCAGCAGTACATGATATTTGCAGAGGTCCCTTTCCCACTCCTTAAGGCCCCGGGCAGACTTCACGCGATTTAATCGTCGCGACTGAATCGCGACGAGACAACTGTTACAACATCATTCCATGCCGATCAACTTGCATTCGGTTGTGATACTTTTCCAGCCAGAAATTTTTGAATGTGAAATGAAAATGAATGGAAATCTTGGCGATTAGATCGCGACGATTAAGTCGCGTGAAGTCTGACCGGGGCCTAAGACTTCATCTTTCTTCGGCTGCTTCCAGCATCTTGGCTGCCTGTGCTTCCTAGACACTAAGGCGCACTCTCCGTAGGCTCGCAATCCTTTCTGAAGCCGATCGTAATCGTACGTTGGGTCCTCCTCGATGGACCATTCACCATTGATATGAGCTCTTCTAGCCTGTTACCGTCATAAACGAATTTTTTCCTTCTTGCGGCACTGTGGCAGATCTTTTTTACCAGCTTTCGACTGGATCGTACCTTCGCTCGAAGGAGGCGGTGATTGGAGCCACTACAGAAGGATGGAACTACTGCAACATCAAGCAAGCTCCACCGGTTAGTGAAAATGTGGTCGATATCCGCGTGAGTGGTTCCGTTGAGTGATTACCATGTCCACCAGCGATGTTCTTTCTTCATGAAAATGGAATTTCCATGGAAAATCGTGCGGCGGAAGGAAGCCCAACGAAGCGGTTGCCGTTTTCGTTACGGAGCCCATATCCGAAATTCCCGAACCTATATTCGTCTTTTAATGCATCCCGATCTTCGCGTTGAAGTCGCCCACAACGAACTTGTAAAAAAGACTTCTCGTTGCGGACGACCTGCTCCACATCTTCATAAAAAGCATCTAGTTCTGAGCCGTCACCTGCTGACGTTGGTGAATAGTAGTTGATGATGGTCTTCTGGCGTGGAGGTCGTAGTCCTAAGATGGCTAGTCGAGGTAACAGGATCTCATGCGAATCGACAAGATGGACGACAGATGGGTGGACGACAAAACCAACGCCTCCAACGTTTCAAAATGGAACCTTTTCAGCATGAATGTGAGGGTCCTATCACTCATTGTCGCACGTCCTTCTTCCCGGACTTCGTTTCCTGCAGAACGATAACGTGGTATTCGATGTGCTCTGCAGCATCGAGAAGAGCGTGGAGGTCGGCGTTTGTACAGACTGTCTTGGCGTTGTAAGTGGAGAGCATGAGGCAGTTTCCATGGCAAGTAGTCTGAGCAGACGTGTCGTTTTTATCTAAACCGAAAGGTGCCCTGAGTATCCTGACATCTTTCTTGCTACCACCCGGCGCCGAGGCGGGATCCAGTGTGCAGCTTTTATTCCTCTTCGTTTTGCTGATCAAGTAATAAAAACTTCCCCCCACAAGAGCGGACTTACTAGTCCAATCCTTGATTTCCACACGGCTATCGCTGACCCATCTTTGGAGCGGGGAGAACCGCCTAGCGACCCGCAAACCAGAAGGCGTGGCCTTGCCGGCTCTTAGCTAGGCACCCGGCCGGAACCGGAAATGTCGAACTCCTTCACAGCTTGGGAGGACCTGCCAGAGTATACACTTGGCTTGCATCGCAGTTCGACACCCAATGTCAGCCACCACGTTGAGGCGGCTGACCATTGTGAGGGGTCTTTGGTTATTGTGTTTGTTAGGTGTTACCTTACGAAATACGCTTAGAGGCAGTGGCTCGGCAAATCTCAACCTAGTCAAATTTGCGCTTACCTGGGGTTTTTCAATACGCTGATCCCGAAAATTTCCTTTTGGAAATGCCCTTCCCTTTGATATTGGACGAGTGGAGCAAGGCCGATGACGCTAAATCGTTGCAGGACCCAATGGTTATGGCGTCGCGGTGGGCAGCCTCCAATGGTGAGAAGGAAATTGCCAACTCGTCCAGATGCGTGTAAGACTGGCCTGGCGTGTAAGTTCGAGAGCGATTTTTTCGGCAGGGAAAGCATGCTGTGCAACCGGGATTGCACTGTTTTCATATTAGGCGATAAGGAAAATACCGCGTTGAAATCACGAGGTGTTGGATTTTGCCGATAAATTGCCTTTAAGACTGCGAATAAAAAAGTATTATTTTGTGTCTATATCATAAAAGCCACAGAGACGCGCCAACACTACAAAGACCGGGCAAGTACCCACATGGCCGCGCTAACAGCTAAGGGGATCGGCCGAGCGTACAACGTTTGGACTGCTGGAGGTGAGCCTACAATGCTCGGGCGGACGACTGCCGATAGCGGACGGGCGCTCGCGTGCACTGGACGGCTCGGAAAAGTGAAATTCGGTCGCCCGGTACTTGTGGCCGCTCGTCCGGAACTTTCGCCTGAGTCACTAGCAAAGGCCGGGCTTGTTTTAACACTAACGTAGAATCAATTATATCTCATTTATCACATTTTCGGCAAGTGATACATCGTAAGACCTAAGCCTACATAAGACAATTACTTTCTTGGTTTGCATTCATTTTAGGTCTTACTACACGCAATGAAGTTTGCACTCTCACTCATGCTTGCTGCTCTCTGCTCGGTCTACACTTTGAATGAAAATCAAGAAGGAGCAGATGACGCAATGGAACCACATTCTATCAAGAAGAGAACTTTGTCATATTACCTCGTTCAAAGTAAAGCACGTAAAGGTTCCGAATCTTGGAGGAATAAAGAGCGAGACAATAATTCGAAAGGAAACAAACCAAGACTGAGAAGAGTGGGTAACTTCAATTCTGGGAAAGATAGCAGTAGCACCGGACGATTGATTGAATCACCGAATGCCGCTAGTGAAGCGAATGCGCTGGACAACGACAAGGGTGAAGTGCAGAAGACTGGAAGGAGAGCCCATAACTACATTGTACTTCAACCATATCGTTTTGCAATAGCCATAGTGAGCTACTTTAGGCGCATATCCACGTTAACATGGATGACCGCCAGACAAAAGAGCTGCTGTCTTCTTTGTTTCGACCGCTTTTCAAAGAAAATAAGAAAATCTTTGGTCGAAAAGTATAGCAACTGTCATCTAGATTAAAAAAAAATTCTATTTGTGATTTAGGAAGAAATGGAACACAAGATACCATCATTTATTCGATTCCCGTGCTCTACTGATCATAAGCGTTTCGTTAAAAGACGCGAAGCTGCAGACTGTGTTGGCGCTGTTGGTGAGAATTTTTTGTTAAGATTTGAATGCATAGGAGTGCGCTCATCTACGGGGAAGGAGTTCCCAATTTCTTCAGCCTTCACGGACAAAGTGTGCAACGAGTTTCTAGACTGTATGCTTAGTAAAAGCAGTAGAAACACTGATTGTCAATCAAGGTGAGGGAGTTGTCGCTTAACCTTTGAAAGATTAATGAAATTCAGAATTTGCGAAAATTTCAACGCGATGGAAAAGAAGGCATGCTACCATTCTCTTTTTCCATGCGATTAAGTCAAATCAAATAAAGATTAATGTTTGCTTTTGTATCAAAAAAGTTGCTGCAAGTGGGGCAGGCTGATTCGCGCCATCGCAATCGCACAAAATCGCACTCGTGTGCTTTACACTCTGCAAAACTTTGACTAAGCAAAGGGGAGGAGCGAAGATTCGCCGAGTGCGCTACACGAGCAGGTAGTCTCACATCTATGTGTTACTTTGAGAAAACTGCTCTAAATACGGTTCGCATGAGATAATGGCTCAAGCTAGACACCCTCCAAGTTTTTCTCTTCGTGTTCTCGCTTTGTAAGATGGTACAGTATTGTTCAAGCCAGTTTATAGGCAGGGAATACGTCACGCATATCATCCTCGCATTGCTGAAAGTAGCGACGAAAACGCGACGATTAAATCGCTAGAGACTCGTTAGTGAGCATACTTCTGCAGCAGATCATGCATTCTCACACATCCTCGAACTACTTATAAGTATCTTCGAGTCATTTGTGACTTAATATGCGTAGTGCACACTATACACGCTAAGTGACGAACTGTGAAACTAGAATCTGCTCATTTCCACTAATTTCTCCTTGTTTCCTTGTTTCTTTTGTTTTAATTGGTTATACGTTAGTCAGTAGAACATATTTCTACATTTTGTTAGACTAAATAATCTTTTACTGGAAAGTTACTAGTATGGGTGCCGTCGCTAATGGGGCTTACTTTGCAATCTCACATATTAAGTACAAATGACTCGAGGTTACTTGCATTATATTCAGTCCAGCTTTCTTCCACTGTGGTCGCTCAGTTTGCATTCCACTTGTATATCCGTTTACATTTTCAATTTGTATATCAGAACCGATTCCAGCCTCAGGACCAAAGGAAATTTCTTTCCAATTCCAGTATCAGGGCCCCAAATTTCAAAGTTGTTAATCTTGCTCGAACTCGGTCTAGGGGTAATTTTAAACACCAAGATCTTTGATGAGCCTATTTTATGGGATTACGGTAGGTATATGGTAATGCCAAAACCACAGATTCCCTCTTAACCTTGTCTGGGGGAGGGGGGAGAGAGGGGGGGACAGGGGAGTGGGAGTGGTATTTGCCTTGGTGAACGTGAGTATCATATTGATTCTACAGGATAACGACATTTTCTCGGGTCGATTACGATAACTTTAAAGTGGGTCGAAGTTCCTTGTTCAGAACTTTGCCTAAGCCCACAATTTGCTGATTACAAATATCCAGGAACGCTTTATTGTGAAATTGTGGAGTTATGAAATTGGTGGAGTTATAGTGATTTTATAGCGTACTTGTTGGCTTTCCCCGCTCAGCAAGGCTCATTGGTCACCTAACTGCAAGCCCCTCCCCTTCTTACATGTTGTGGATGACTCACCCTGGGACCCGCTTCGACGAAACCGCATCCTCGTGATCCTGATGTGAAAATGAGCTTTACCGCCCTTCTTTACATGACTATGGTAAAATGCTTGATTAAACATGATAAGCCCTCAATTCCATAGAAAAACCTATACAAATCAATAAATCGATAGAAGGACCTAATGAATCGCTGCAAAAAGTAGCCTATCATCTGCGCAGGGGTCGAAAACATATGTGTGCAAAGTTTCAGCTGAAGTTGAGTTGAGCGGTGCGCGTTTCTATAACGCACATATCCTTCAAACTGACAATTTTTGAGTTATATTAGATTGTCCCATAAGTTTTTTCATATTCGGGCCTTCAATTCGATTTTTCTCAGGAACTACAGCACCTAGTAAGCTGCAAATTTTTGCCAGTATTCTGAGCGAATAAGCTATACAATCACCTACTTGCGGGGAATACAGAAGTGATACAGGCAAAGTTTGACAATTGAGCGCATTATTTTTTTCTTGGTTTCTAGCCATCAGAAAAATGCAGCAAGTGCATTTGTAAATATCCGATGAAGAGAGTATATGCATGAAAAAATAGGAAATTTGCAGAGCTGTTTTGAAATGAGATATGATGATTTTCGTTTTTCGGAAATTCGGGAAAATTTTTTATTTTGATTTGGAGCATGTTGCGGATTGGACTTGGTGCGAACTTTTGAACGCCATCTTGTAGAGCTTACTTTGATCTGTCGAATGGTACCCTGCAGTTTATCAGGAGTTCAAGAAGAACTGATTTATGTCGTTGAAAAGTCAGGTATGAAAAGACTTATGGGACAACCTAATATATACAGGGTGTCCAAAAAAATGTATCGAACGTTTGATCGTTAATATCTCTCTTCTGAAGAAGTTTTTTCCCCTGCTTTAGGTACCAAGCTGTAGAGCTGGCTTCAACTTAGATTTCCTTTATAGAACGAGTCACTCATCTCTCTTTATTCCTGTAGGATTACGGTAGAATCTCCAAAGAGGGTTTCAAGCAGTAAAAGGCCATATTTTGCCCCAGAAAGGAAACAAAACAGCCTGAAAACTTTTACACTAGGCTAATTGGAGTTGCTGATTATAACTGTAAAGTTCCCAATTCATTACGATGCTTCATTGAAGAGTTATGCCGGGTAAGAGGTAGCGGCCATTTTATCGATGTTCCTAAGAAGTGCGGTTACACGGTTTAGAAAGCTTCGTAATTTTATGAATAGTTGATTATTGAACTCAGCGTCCATAAAATCCCCTATACACAAGTTTTCACATTTTTTTGAAAAATTTTGAAATGGCAGCTTTTTCCACTTTGATACCATATGTTTCAAGTTTTACCGTAATCCTACAGTAATGAGGAGAGATGAGTGACTCGTTCTGTAATGCAAATCTAAGTTGAAGCCAGCTCTACAGATTGGTACCTGAAGCAAGGGAAAATACTTCTTTAGAAGAGAGATATTAACTATCAAACGTTCGATACATTTTTTGGGACACCCTGTATATATAACTCAAAAATTGTCAGTTTGAAGGATATGTGCGTTATAGAAACGCGCACCGCTCAACCTTCAGCTGAATCTTTGGGTGTATGTCAAGAGGCGCGATTTTTATTGCCAGCTGGACACCAAATAGCACATAATAAGTGTTCTGCAACTTTCTAGAAGTATAGGAAATCTAGAAAAAGATATATTAGGTAGTTGCATGAGTTGTTCAATCTTGATACTCTAGAAGAAATTCAAAACAGCCATTTTGAAGGTCAAAAACTCATGAAAATGCATTTCAGAACAAATTCATAAGTATCTCAGTCCGATTTATAGCAAAAACCATGAAAGTCAGCAAGTGGTGACCTCAGATGGAGAGTAAGCTAATGCACTTTATCCGGTAATTTTCAAAGACTCGCATAGCACCAAACTGGAGTTTTAAGTTGGTGACAGCCAGAGAAATCGCGCCTCTTGACCGTCTCCCTGAATCTTTGCCCCCCCCCTCGGTACGCCACTGATATATATATATATATCTTCTTATATATAAAGCTGAATGTCTGTTTGTCTGTCTTATGTCTGTATGTCTGTGTGTACGTATGTTCCGATTAGAAAATTCCATTTCTGAACCGATCCGGACCAAACTTGGCACACATACACTTCGGGCCCCAGCCATACCTTCGATAGTCTAGAGACAGGGCGCCAAAAGTGAAGGTTGTTTGAACGTCTGACGTCACAAATGGTGAAGGTTGTTCAAAGAAGATCAGAGAAGAGAATATGACGTAAAACAGACATAAAAAGCAAAAGAAACGGCTGTAAACCGGATAAAAACGCTGCAATAATTAAAATCTTTCATTTGGCGGCTTTACAGAGTGCAAGTTTTCGCTCCAGGACCAGCAATTCGCAACACGGGGTTTTGATTTTTGATGCGTCCTTTGAATTTTTACCCCCGCGCCGTCCCTCTTGTACCCTGCGACGTTGTCTGGATTCTTCCGCTCATCATTCTGAGCAAGTATTCCAAGCTGGAGAAAATTCGTTGCGAAACTACTGAAAAAGAATAAGGTAAAGAAAAACGCATTTTTTAGTAATTTCTACAAAAAAAGCGGCATAAGCAAAGAAATAAGCTCGGCGACGTTGTCTACATTATAGACAGAAACAAGACCTATCGACTACACAAAAAAACTGCGTGAAAAGAGTCAAACTAGGAGAAAACGAGAGATTTTCAAAAACAAGGTTTTTGCCGGATTTCTTGTTTAAATCATAAAAAGGAGTCCTGCGACGTTGTCAGCGTGAAAATAGAGATCAAGAGCTTCAAAATGATATATAGCTTGCTAAAATTGGGTTCGAAACAGCGAAGAAAAGGGTACCAGAGCCAAATGCCCCGCGCCCCGCGCTTGGGGTAGCGAGGTAGCGCGCAGCGCGCGGAGACGCAGACGAGCAGCGGAGAGAGACCAGAGCCGGCGGGGCATTTGGCTCTGGTCATTGATCTCCGCGGGGTCATAACGAAACCCTATAATATTATATATCGTTGTGATCCTCATGACACGGCCAGGAGCACTAACAACGTCGCGGGTCTTGAATCTCACTCCATAACGAGATAGACCAGCATATATGTGGCGACTCTCTGCGCAAGATTTCAGCGCAGTTTCTCGTTTTTGTTGAACTCCAGCGGCTTTCATGAACCTCCAACGCTCAATCGCAGTCTATAGAAAGGTTAACTGATAAGTTTTATCCTAATTTCTAACTGAATTTTTGAAGAAAAACACTCATTTCAGCAAAAAAGGCCATGAAAACGCAATCTTTCGGTTTTTTGAGCTTTTCTTTGGATGTCACTACTATATGCCTCATTCACATTCATCCTTACATAGTTAGTCATTAGTTACGTCATAATATCCGGGGCTTCGCCCCGGATGACTTGTACTCCTCTCCAGGTGAAGGTTGTGCCCTCTCATGACACTCAAAGTGAAGGTTACCAGAGTACGTGGCTCTACGTATCGAAGGTATGGCCCCAGCGGGTGTCATAGGCTACTTTTCGTCATCGATCGATATCGATTTTATCGATTTTTTTTGCAGAGTTCACCCACGGGGCTGCGAGTTGGCACAGGGGGGTAATCGAGCATGGGGATCCCGAATGCAATATTAGTTTTCAGGATTATTGATTACTTTTATC